AATAATTTACATAGCTTATATATATATATGCCAAAGAACCTTACAACCCAGATTCCTTTGTCTCAATTTAGATAATTCCAATCATATAAAATTTTAAGTTAATTTTTCTACATTAATATTATTATTTAAATATAATTTTTATTTTAAAACATTCCACAATCTAATTATTATTTAATAAAAAATCTCATTTTTTAACACATATTAATTGCAATCACACAAAATAACTTAAGATATTTTACATTTATCAAATTCACTTAATATTTCAATAAAAATCTTGCTAAGCACATGTTGTTCATTTATAGAATTTTTATTATTAAAAATTGGAATTAATTTATATATGAAAAATATTCAAAATAAAATATTTAGTAGGCTTTTTTTCACGCTTTTCTTTCTTTTTAGGCATGATAATATCCGGAGAAACTAAAAACGGACTAACCGGGAACTCTTCGGGGCTAATATATAAATAAAACATATAAAAATTTATGTATAATTTTGTAAATATTTTACAATCTCTTATATACAGATAAGAATACTACACTCAGCTCTATCGCATAACTATAATCGAGCTTTCGATGACGATCTCATATATTTTAACCATCTGAATCAAGATGTGGTTACCGATTTGGGAAAACTAGGATCAAAATATATATTTGCTTCATACCTCTGAGCCACTATTTGACACAACTCCTTAATTAGGAAAATATTTTCCCTAATGCAAAGATTGTGTAGCCAGTTTTAACAAAAAAATTATTTATATTCTAATTCAAAAAGTCGATACTTCTAAGTGACATGCTTTATACTTAATAATCATTAATCGATACATTTTATAATTTTTATCAAATAAGACGAAAGAAAATCTCCACCCATGCTTGTGGATGACTAAAATTTCTAAAAGGGAAAAATGTATATTGATTATTTTCAGGACTAGTGAAATTTCTTTAAATCGGGATGAGCCAAATTTTTTTTATTGCAGGTTTGGACCGGGTTTGATTAAAAAATTAAGGCCCAAGAATGTCTTTCTGTTAAAAGCAAATGAATATGATGATTGTTAAATAGTAAAAATTCATAGAAATGAATTATATTTTAAAAATATCCAATAAAAGTTATTCTCATTCTATATTAAAGTTATATAAAAAAAAATAAACATTTTATTTAAAATAATTATTATATATAAATATGTTTTACAAGTAATATTCCATATCTGTTTGGGAATATCTACTTCCCCCAGTTATAAAAGGATAGTTGTCTTCATCCATAGAAGTTGATTCTTCAGGTATATTCATGTCGTCAAAACATTTTCAAAATATAATATAAAATTTTAATTATTAATAATTATTTTCTCTAAATAAAAACAAATGAAAACAGTCTATGTTTTTAATACAAGATTTTGGAATTTTTGGAAAATGTGATCAAAAATTTTCCCCAAATAATTTTTTTCAAATTAGATAAATCAAATATAATTAGAAGCGAAGGCGAGATCTAATAAGAATTTAGCATTATATAATTCGTTGGAAATCTCCTTAAGACTTGAATATATTTACAAGATCCGAAAGTAGGGAAGAAACCCGAACATTTATATTTCAAATTGTTGCTTTCTACGATTTATTAATAGTCTCCCATAAAATGAAACGGCCTTGTCTTAACATGTATTTAATTTATTATATTTTAATTAATCTTTTAAAAAAGGGATTTTATTTTTATAGAATAATATTACGTTAAAAATTGTAATTACTCTCGATTTGAATTAACTTTTTTGGTTTAATGTGAAACAGTAATAACTGCATAAAATACCAGAGAGTATAGCCATTAGCGGTGATAATCTTATATTTAAAGTGATTTAACTTTAGTTTTTATTAATTCTATTTCTATACCTGGTCATCCTTTTAATCATATTTAGAAAAAAAGATCCTTAAGGATTAAATCATGGTCAAAGTGCAAATTTGCATTTACATTTCAGACCATAATATTATCACTCTAATTGTTATTCACAATATCAAATCAAAATTGAATATTTTTTTATAGAAAAATTAATAAATAGAATATGGCTGTATTTTGTTGTTTAGAATTAAAAAATTTAAATAAATTCGACTTTTAGATTTTCCCTTTTATATCGATTTCTATATGACCGAGTTGTATTAAAACCTATAGGAATATCATATCAAAGATTTTAGGAAATATTATTATTTGAGGACAGATAAAGAAATAATTAAACGAGTGAGTTTATCATTTTATTAAAAATTTGGTTATTACTAGATAATTTTCAAACAAATTTAATATATTTAGTTTTGTTACAAATAAATGTGTTTCTTGTTTATAAAGATAAAACGATACTTTAAATATAAGATTATCACCGTTAACCGCCATACCCTGTGGTATTTTGTGCAGTTATTTTTTTTCTTTTTATTGTTTTACATTACCAAAAAGTTAATTTCAAATCGTTAGTAACAACCATTACAATTTTCAGAGTAATATTATTCCACAAAAATATAACTCCCCCCTTTTTTTAAAAAGTAATTAAAATTAGGTTGAATGAAATATATAATTTGAATGGTCCTACCTTCAGATCTGGTAAATTACTTATGCTATATAAAAGAAATCGCCAACCTTCCTTTAACTCTTTTAAACTTGACATGGAGTATGCAATGACCATAAGGACCCTTTCCTTACAGATTTATTCCTTGCTATAAAATTTGATAAGTGTAAAATAAAAAAAAAATTATAAACTTCTGTTCATAAGAAATTCTTTAAAATTTATAATATATAATTTGCAATTTTAAAATTAATTAAGATGATAATTTTTTTAAAAATATTAGTTGGCTATTCTTTTAACCATTGATACAGAAATTCGACTTTTAGACATATCAAATTTTAATGATTTCTATATGACTTGGATCTTAATCTTATTTTTAAATACTGTTTTTGAAAAATTTTATTTAAAAATAAAAAGTATTATACCAGGATTTGTTATCCGAGGACGGTGGCCAGAAACTTGATCAACTTTTGTGGCCCCGCATATATTGTCACTGCTGAAATATTTCCTGCGGGGCACTATTTATTATAAAATATTTGAATATACTATATACAATTTCATGTATTACATTTTTGTTCATATTTTAGTATTGTTAATATCACTTAAATTGTCTTATTTAATATGTATACTCATTCTCTTTTTATAAAATAAAAATATAATATAAAATAGGGAAAATAATGTCTAAAATTAGGGATCATTGTGTTAAAATTATCATATCTTTAAATATGATTGGTACTAATATGTTATATGTCACAATAGATGATAGATACCAGCGTTTACGGTCTCACCCATGCCCCATTTTTTTCTCTTTCAACCCACCCACCCGTATATATGTTCACTTTATTCATTTCATTCGTTCAATATTTTTACTTTATTTGGATTCATGGGAATAGTTATACTTTTGTAAATTGGATATTAGGAGCATGTTATAGATAAATTACATCTACGTCCTCACATAAAGATATTGGTATTATAATTGGTTTCTGAGCTGTATTTTTAGGTGCCTCTTTGAGAATAATCATTTGAACTGAACTATCTCACTCTTTTTCAATTATTAACTCTAAGTTTAGATATTAGAACTAATCAGCATATAAAATACATTAGTACCAATCATATTTAAAGATGTGATAATTTCGAACAAAATGATCTATAATTAGACATTATTTTCCCTATTTTATATTATATTTTTATTTTATAAAAAGAGAATGAGTATACATATTAAATAAGACAATTTAAGTGATATTAACAATACTAAAATATGAACAAAAATGTAATACATGGAATTATATATATTAAATTCAAATATTTTATAATAAATAGTGCCCCGCAAGAAATATTTTAGCAGTGACAGTATCTGCGGGGCCTCAAAAATTGATCAAGTATCTGGCCGCCGTCCTCGGATAACAAATCCTGGTATAATACTTTATATTTTTAAATAAAATTTTTCAAAAACAGTATTTAAAAAAAAAATGTCAAAACGGTGTTAGAGTGATTTTTAATTTTTTTAAATTACACATCGAATTAACTTGACTATGAATCCATTATCATCACAAAAGTATTTTAATTTAAGTTAATATAATTTTTTATTACATAAAAAGCATTTTTTTGAAATAAATATGTGTTTTTAATTGATTTAAATAAAAAGCATTATTAGTAAATTAAATAATCATTGATTTTAATAGAGATTATATGGGCTGTACTAGTCTCTATTGTTTTGACTTTGTTGTAAATCTTTATTAATGTAATATCTAAATTTTTGCACTTTTGAACCATTGATTATACTTGTCAAAATTTTTTACATACTTTCCATTGTAAAACTTCTTATTGTAATATCTGTAATTATTGTTTAATTTTCTGTTGTCGCTTTATTGATTGCATCTGTGATTGTTATTTTCATGCCTGGATAATTTCGTTAGAAATTGTTGGCATAAGATTTGTAAATATCGAATCTGTTTTGACAATTGTATTATTAGTTTTGATGATGAGGCATATGTTTTTGTCATAGTTTTAAAAAATAATTGTTGCTATTCTTTTAGCAGGAGCCAAAAATAAAGAGAATGTTGGATGTAGGGGCATCTTGAGTTTAGTCAAGCTCTAAAACATTAATCGGATCAGGAGTTTACGTGATCTTAATTTTGAGCGGTTATATGATTCATAGTCACTAGCTTGATTAGTCACATGTTTCCAGTTCTACCAAAAGTAGACTATGGTCGCCTCGCAGATATTGCCATTAATAAAAAAATTTCTGAGGCTTTTTTATTAAAAAATATTTGAATTAATCTTTATAATTCTGTATTACATTTTTCTGATATTTTACTATTGTTAATATAATTTAGATTAGTTATAAAATTCTCCTATTTAAATTTATGTATTTTCTCATTCTCTTTTTTAATAAAAATATAATATATAATAGATTACTTGAAGTTAAGTAATTGATAAAATAAGGATAATTGAATAATATTCCCTAAGTTTGTTTGTGATAAAAATCTATTTAAACACACTAGATATTTAAATAATAACAAAATTAAACGATAAAGCTAATATTATTTTAACCCAAAATCATTCCGATACATTTATGTAAAACTACAATATAAAGGCTCTGAGGCGGAACTCAATAATTCCATAATAAAAAAACTTAAAAAAAATGTGAACCGTAAAATTTAGAAATCTATAACGGGAGTGCAATTTTACAGTTAGATTAACAAAAAGAGATAATAAAATTTTTTAGCAATATGATACTAACAATGTTCAACAATGGGCTCCACGATAACATTCTTTCATTGATTTTACAATCAAAACAACAACTATATGCCACATCATCAAAACTAATAATACAATTATCAAAACAGATTTATTTACTACAAATCTTATGCGAACAATTTCCAACGATATTACCCAGGACATGAAAATAACAATCACAGATGCAATCAATAAAGCGACAACAGAAAATTAAACAATAATTACAGATATTACAATGAGAGGTTTTACAATGGAAAGTATGTAAAAAATTTTGACAAGTATAATCAAAGGTTCATAAGTGCAACAATTTAGATATTACATTAATAAAGATTTACAACAAAGTCAAAACAATAGAGATTACAGATAAATTACAAATCAACCATATTACAAAAGATCACATCACGATTATAAAAATATTAAAAACTTACAATAATAACTACAGGCCGTTATTTTATATTTTTTCAAAGGGCCTAAAAGAGGATACATCAATAGCCATCCTTATAATTTTTACATTAAACATAAAGCGGGTAAATACAATGTAATATATGAATCCTTGTCGCGATTATCCTTAACATATATAGAAGAGACAATATACAACAAGAGAAGAAATGGGGAACAACAATTTATGATATTGATTTTCGAAAAAAATTATCAGCGAGAACTATGGATGATAAAAAACCATCGCAGATCATAAATGATGTGAGGAAAGGCGACTTATAAAGAATAATTCGACTTATAAAAAAAATAGAAAATGAATTGAGTAACTACTTTTAGTAATAATCAAGTTGTTTTTTTTTTAAATAAAAGTTAAGGTCACATAATCTCTATTAAAATAATAATTAATTTAATTAACTAAAAATTAATTCAAACCTAAATCAAAACGATGGGGTGTTATACATGTTTCTTTCGAGACTTGCATATCCTTCGATGGTAATTCTGTTGATTAATATTTTAAATAATAATATTTTTAAAATTTTGACTAAACTTGTTATTTAATTAAAGTCATTTGTAATTTTAAGATTTTACTAAGTATGGAATTTTAACTCTTGAATGCTGTATTATAGTAACACCATATAGATTTTGAAAATATTACTAACTCCTATATTAATCATCACCTACCACACCATTAAATAATAATATGATCCATTTCTGGCATTCATCATCACTTCAATTCATATCTTTATTGTTTCAAAACCGCCTATATTAATGTTATATTCTGTTATTCTCATCTAAACAAAATGTCAAAAGAGACAGTTAGCCTCATCAAAAAATTGAAACTGACGGCTTGCCCCTTTACGCTAGAGTTATTAAAGATCCTACAGCCCATATAATCTCTATTAAAATCAATGATTATTTAATTTATTAATAATGCTTTTAATCTAAATCAATTAAACAATATTGTCCTTAAAATTACATAAAATTAAATTATTTATTTTTTTTACAATGAACGCATATTTATTTCAAAATAATTTTTAATAAATTTAACTCAAAATACTTTTTATGTAATAGCTATATGTAGAGGCAACCTGAGTTGATCAGGTGTTCGCGTGAGTTTAGTTTTGAGCTGTAATCTTATGAGATTATAGTTTGGAATATGAACATTCGCTTAATAGATTATACAAAAAAATATTTAAATTTAATTATAAATATGAAAATGTATAAAATTAAAACCAGTAAGATTATAATTATTTTTAATTATACTAATATAGAATAGCAATTAAGATTTATATTCATATTTAAAAATATATTGAAGATTATTTTGCGTAATTATTATTTCTAGGCCTATCTAGGAATATGCTAAGGAGGGTGAACACTATTAGTTGAATATTTCTCATTTTTTTCGAGTTTGTTGAGTAATGTTATGGATTATGAATAAAACTAAAGAATAAATATAACAATTTATTAAATTAGTGCTACATTTTTATATTTTAATAATAAATGGCATGTTGCAGCCATCCACCATCAAATGGTCTTGATTTAATTGTTTATACGTTTACTCACGTTGGGAAGGTCTATGACCAATTTTCTAGATAGCAAATCAATTATTCAAATCTTTATAAATTTAAATAATATTTATTCAATAAATCATATCAACAACTACCTCGGGTATAGAAGATTTGTAACCAAAGATATATGTACTGAGAAAATTATAACAAGTTTGAAATATAAAATTTTAAATATAAACCATTATGACACGTGAAGAAATAAAAAATATATAAAATAATAATACTACCCGCACCCCCTCCTACCCCAATATGTAAATCATATTAATAAATATTTTATAGAATTAACAAAAGTTTAAAATTTATTACACATTACAAACCTGGATAAGAATTTGTTTTGATCATCTTATGGATAATAGGATCTGTTGAATAAATAGAATATAAATTTAGTATAATTTTAAATTTTTACTAAACACGTATAAATTATATCTTGATTTTCAATCTTTAGATAACTAAAAGTAATTAAATTTAATGTAAAAATCAGAATTTTTTTTTATAGAATAATTTTTAAAATTCATTTTCCCACTTAAACTTGTGTCAATATAAAAATACTATATTCATTTCATAACTTTGACGTTTAAAAACTTTTATTAGAATTTTTTAATAATAAAAAAAAATATTTTAATAAAATATTTGTTTTGTAGACTTAATTTTTTTTATAGAATAATCATTAAAATAAATATCGAGTTTATTTTGGTGTTTAGATTTTTAATATTTGCAAAAATTCTACTTATAGACCTAGAAGTTTTTAATCATTTCTATATGATTTGGATCTTCTAAAATCTATAGAACTATCGTATTAAAGAGTTTTAGAAATAGATTTCATAAGGATAGATAAGAAATAATTAAATGGTTGAGTTTATCATTTTATTAAAAATAGTTGTTTCATTTTTTTACCAGAGATATTTATTATTTTTAAAACAAAATTCATATATTTTTCATTTGACAAATATATAGTTTATATTTAAAATCTTATAAATCAAACCTGGACTTATTTTATCCATGTTAATATCTTCGGTTGTCACTGCTTCTATACCCGAGGTTATAGTTGAAGTTAAACATTTAAAAATTTTAATTTGCTTATACTGCAAAAAAATATGGAGAAATATTCAACTAATAGTGTTCACCCCCGTTCCTCTTCCCTTTAGCAAAATCCTTGATCGGCTTAGAAATAATAATTACACAAAATAATCTTCAATAATTAAATATTTTTAAATATGAATAAAAAAAATCCTAATTGCTATTCTATATTAGTATACTAAAAAATACTCCTCCTTGAATAATTTTATACATTTTCAGATTTTTAAATAAATTTTAATATTTTTTGAATAATTTATTAAGAGAATGTTCCTATTCCAAACTATCCTCTTATAGGATTACGATAGCCTTGCAGTTGTTAAGAGAAGATAAATTCTGAACTATTCCTACAGTTTTATTAAAAAAATTGGAAATCTATTTTCACACTTGCAAGTTACAAATTTTCTAAATCCACAATCTCAAGATCATTTTAAATTAAACGAAAAATAAAATTTCAGATAATTCGTTTTAATTTTCAAATATTCTAGAAGAAGAGATATCCAGGGATAAATTACAAAAATTTTAAAAACTTTAAATAATTACATATTGAGTATTTTGTAAGATAACCACACTAATGAACTCCCTCGGGCCTATTTTTTAACCAGGCCGAGTCTAATATTTTAAAAATAATATTTGCAGATTTTTTATTTGTCCCAAAAAGCCCAATGGCTGGATTTATTTAAAATAGATAAATTAATCTTTTTGGATTGAAAACTAATAGAAAATAATATCGCTTGTTTCTTGCGAGAATTAATAAAATATAACAATTTATTTGAATAAAATGTAATGATATCATAAACATTTACCCACCCTGTCAGTCTCAAAATTTTTTAACACGAATATTAAATAAGGGCCTCCCCCCATTGAGGCATATAATACTGCTCTATTGCATCTAGGTGTTCAAGTATACACACTCTGGATCTACTCATCATAATTATTACTCCTTCACAAATTTCACCATAAAATGATGCAGTTATTAATTAGAGAAATTACTCAATTATGAAACCATCTTTGCAATTAAAGCTTTCATATCATGATCTCATATAATAAACTCATTTGATAATAGAAAATCAAAATTATAGTATTATACCATATAGAAAGTTTATTACTATATAATTGATTTTAACTGTCTTCTACTTATATGAATTTTAGTTTACAGAATAATACATACATTTAGTCATAAACACAATTGTGAATTTTATCAATAATGATATTCACTCTCACCCTCAATTGGTAAAAATTTATAATTTATGAGCCTACCAGATCTCAGCACCGCACCTACCAAATTTACCATTGATTAAACTTATTAAAGTAACCAATTGGGACTATTGCGATTTCATCGAAACTAGAAAATAAAGGGTCCTCACTTGGGGCTTCCCATCTTAACACCAGCTATTCCTCGAACCCTTAATGTCTTTTCTCCCCTTCTCACAACTAAACAACCTATAGTGCCATTCTCACATCATTGGCTATTGTTCTCACTAGCCCAATAGTTCCTACCTCAACTGTCGCAAATACTTCGACATTTGACCCAGCCGATTACACAGATATAGATATATTTATAACCACACCAAAACCATTTGTAATTTCACGAATACCTAAGGTAGAAAGGTTTCAAGTTGTTGACTTTCTTGGATAATTATCCTTCTTTAAACACTCTCTAGACACCCTATCATTTGTGATCTTTGTATTGGTATTTTATTTAATCTCATATTTTTGTTCAAGGTTTGCACACCATCCATAATAAAAACCTTTATTTAATTGGGTATCGTCCTACCCTGAAGCTCATCTATTATCCACTTATACCACAAGCGACGTTAGAAAGGCCTCTCCTTCAAACGCGATTCCTCACCTATGTTTGATGGGCTCCGCCTGATATTCCCACAGGATCTAACCGCACCTTACATCATTCAACAATTCGACGTTTTGCATCAACCATATGCTTAATGGAAGCATACCCCGCCATTGTCCCACTCCTATACGGCGCTAAACTCACCGCATAAACCTAATAAAAAAAATCGCCCTCGCTTTGCGAACTACTTAGCGCCGATTAACAGGTAAACTAGTAGTAAGCAGAATATTTTTCACAATATCCAGTCACCGTGCCCGAATTAATTAGGGGTCAACGTGAAAGGTGAATCTGAGCTATCCCTTCACACGAACCGGATGTATTTACAAACGGGCCTCATCACGATATCCTAGTCAAAATAAATTTCTCGAACGCCTTTAACTCTCTAAGGTATGGAGCGTTTCTAACCTGCACTTATATAAAGATTATATATCTATATCTTTACTAGTTGTTTAACCGTCATAGAGGAATTATAATGATCTTAGGCCTAATGATAATGCTAGCCGAATCAAAACAATCATTTTCGAGACTGTGAGGGTAACTCTAGAAATTTTCGTAATAACCAATCTTCGAACAACAATTCAAACTATTACGGAAGAAACTCCATGTGGCACAATAACAATAATGCAAACAATTATGATAGAAACAATGCCTGGCAAAACAACAACAATTCAAACTTTTACGGAAGAAACTCCATGTGGCACAATAACAATAATGCAAACAATTATGATAGAAACAATGCCTGGCAAAACAACAACAATTCAAACTATATCGGAAGAAACTCCAGGTGGCACGATAATAGCAATTCAAACAATTATGATAGAAATAATGCCTGGCAAAATAATAATAACTTTGGGAGAAACATCTCCTGGTCTTACAACAACCAAAGAAATCAGAATCAATATGATGATCGAAATTATAACCGATATGAGTCTTACAATCATAACAATAATAGTAATGGAGGAAACAATACATGGAAAAACTATAATCTAAGAAAACAAATACAA